TATAAAATAGAAACGAAGAGCGTCAACTGAATCATAAAGTTCAACCAAGCTGAGTGAACAGTTAGCCGGAAAGATTGAAATCTTCTGCGATCATGGTAAGTCCATTTAGATCAAATGCGTAGAGTTTTCATTCAGTACAGGTTTTATATTCCACCTCAAAAATTCAGCTTTACGGAACACACATGCACACATAAAAAGGGAATATTTCTAAGCCGGTCCTGACTTTATAGTTTCTTTTGCTTGTGTCAGAACTTAGGTTTCTTCAATCAGTTTATTTGTAAATTTCGGCCAGCCATTCTAAAGATAGGCCGAGTGTTGAACATAGATAAATCGGAGTTAGCAGTACTCAATCATTTCAGAGATCGAGCCACAACTTTTCCTCAAATTCGATTAAACAGTATTAAAAAGTAAATACTTTGCAGTAACTTAAAAGTTAATTTTCGGTAAAATTCGGCACGCGTATTGGGAACAACGCCTACAGAATTTAACTAGAAACTATTTTTTAATTGCATCATTTTTCTTGTTTCCGTTATAAATAAAAAATACTAAAAAGAAACTACTTCAACGCAATAAATTATTAAAAATGACAAGGATTATCTGGCACTTTAACAATCAAAAAAGCGATATAGTTTCTGTTTGAATTCTTAGCAAAACGAAGTTTATTTAAATAAAAAAAAAATTGCCGAAAACCTTTAAGTGTAACGTGTAGAAACGTGATCTAAAACATTGTCAATAAAACCCTCAAGTCTCGTTGGCCGATGATACGCTGGCAGAATATCCGGAATATCATGAGAAAAATATATATATTGGGTAATTAATACAAAGAAACGATTGCATTTACTCAAAATGCTTTTGGATTAACGACTTCAGACTGGTTTCAATTACTTTTTGAAAATCAGTAATATTTATAGAAACCAATTTAGGAAAGTTTCTGAAATGTTTATTAATCCTTGAACAATGGGCTTTTAGTAACACGATCTTTATGATTTTTCCAAGCAAAACGCCACTTTCGTTGAGTATATATAGTTTGACGGCAAATTATTTGATTGTTGGTCCGGTTAGCAGAAATTACAAACCCTTCAGAATTGCAGCTACACGAGTGAAAAATTTAGCCCAGCCAAAATGGCACAATATTGTTGAAATATGAAAAGAACGGTTGCGTTCCAGCAAATCACAACGGTTGCGATGACTGATGCAGCTCAGGGGAAGAAACATTAGAAGAAAAAAATTGCAATAATCGATGAAAAATCTTGATGAAAAATTTTCAGCACACGTTAGTGAGAAAATGACGGAAAAGGAAGTCATTAGAAAGTTTATATCCGTTGGTAGTTGTCATGTCCCGACTTCATTGCTTGAAACCGGGCTGTTAATAAACAGTATACACTAAATGTCGGGGAAAAAATCTCTTGTTGACACTTGAACACGGGCCGGCTGTGAATTAATTGACTTTCTAGGTTTTAATCTCTTTGTTTTCATTTGGAACAGGATACGCTGGTAAATTAAATATGGAAATACATTGTACAGCAACATTTTTGCTGTTTATTTTGTATTATATACTTTTTTATAACTGAAGACACCGGTTCTTCTTGCTCGTTTTGCCCTCTCCCCAGGGCCCGCGCAAGGTTCAAAATACAGTCCAGCCTCCAGTAAGCGCTTATAGGAGGTGGTCGCTTAAGAGAGCTAAGACCATATTAGGTCAAAATATTGCCTCATTAGCATATGGTAACTGCTGAGATGTTTTAAATGTTTTATTGATGTTAAAAGTCAATTTCGAGAAAAAAATACTGTGCTTGCCATTGAGAAATATCAGCGTCTTGTACTATTCAGTACTGCGCTATTGTTACAACACCTTATTATCCAATTTTCGTTCTATTATCTGTCAAGTGGTCGCTTACGGGAGGTTGAAAACAAAAGAAAATGTCAAACTTTTGGCTCTAAAAGTGGTCGCGGTCGCTTACGAGAGGTTCTCGCTAACAAGAGGTTGCAAATATAGTGATTTGACTCGAAAGCTTCTGGTATTTTGGAAAACTGGTCGCTGAGTGGAGATGGTCGCTTACGAGAGGTGGTCGCGGCCGGAATTCTCTGAGCGTCAGGTTCTAGAGTCAGCGAGGCTGCCGAGGAGTGATCTTTGTTTGAATTCTCTCTACATTTTTTACACATTGCCTAGCAAACAGGTTCACGGTTACAAATGAGGAAAATTGTTAACTAGGAGAGGCAGTTTCTATCTACCAACAAATCTTCAAAAATGAGGCAAAAAAAGAATGCATGACATTCAGTCAGTTAAGGCAACTAATACTTTGCCCTCGAGACCGCAAGCTGATTTAAAATCTGCCCCCTCCACCCCCAGGGGGGAACTCCCATATGAAAAGAGCGAGGAAGCTCGTCGTCACGCTTAGGGGTATAAATAAAAAATTTCGGTCTCTGAACAAAAGCAACTATTCTGTAAGCTGTCATAGTATCTTTTATGGTGCACTCACAGAGATAACAATTTAAAGCGCCGTCATTTCCGATTTTAGGCTCGATTCCCGCCGCTCTTTCGAGTCCGGTTTACTAGCCCGGACTCCTTTCCCGTACAGCGGCTAGTAATCAAGCCTATTAATATTTCGTTTCAAGTGGTATCTTTTAGGGCTCAAATAAAGCTCGAGCCGCGCCCCAAAGGTCTCCTTTAGAGGTTAAATTCAAATTTTCCGACAAGCACCCCCGACTTTTTCAAATGGGAGTCCCCCGTTCGGGTTTAAAAGACTGCCCGGCAACTGCATGGCAAGTGGGCGATTAGATAGACATGACACCCTGTGCGCCTTAATCCACTCTGGTATCCAATCCACGTGAATAGCTACTGGGTACGAGTCTGGTCCCTATCCACATTTGCATTTAGCGTAATTTTTCTGTTATCACATTTCAGATGCATTCGGTTTCCGTACATCTCTTAATTGTTATTCTCCTGGGGTCCATGATGGAGAAGCCTCATGCCGAACACAACCCTTGTGATTGCAACAGTCAAAGGGAAGCGTGTATACGCAGCTGTGAGGGATTTAAAAGTTGTATGAGTTGCGCTGAATATTTCCAGAAATGTATTACATCTCCTAACTGTAGAAGGAAGAGAGATTTTGCGTCATTTCTGAGAACTGGGACCGAAACAGCCAAACAAGACGACAAACAGAGAGAGTTTAGTTCAATGGAAGCTAAAGTAGGAAATCTAAAACGAAAATGGAAAATGCCGTTTTTGGAAAAACAACAGTTGACATGAAGAATTGCACGTATCACTACGGACTGCCTAACAACCTTCATTGTTCCTATACCTCAAGAAGATGACAGTATTGAGTAACTTTTCTTTGCCGGTACAAATAATACATATTAAAATGCATTTGTGTAAAACGGAGCTTGAGAGATAAATAAAAGAACAAATGAAACCATTGGCTTTTATTCTTACAAGTCACTTTGATAGATAACAAGACTGTGCAAAATTTCCACCCCTGCTACGTTTGTGAACTTATATATGGCAATGCTTTGTTTAAGTGTGAAGAAACAAAACAAAACAAAATTGAAGCAAAAAGAAAAACAACTGTCCTTCAGAGGTAGGCAACGTATAACCCAAATTTTTGAAATTAAATTATTCGCAGCCTATATCGAAATGGATATATTATCTATATTTCGTTGGAAGTTTTTCGAGCTTTCTGATTTCCGGCAATTTCTTTACATTGCGAACGAAAATTTGTCGATCTCCCGAAAACGAGTTACTTCGGATGAGTCGACACGTCCCTTCAATCCCCATTCAAGCGCAAGATTGTCTATTTCTTCACCCTTCTTCCTGCCGGGATTGATCTAAAAATGACCGGTGAGGAATTGAAGGGGATTTAAAAACTCCCTTCATCCACTCTTATCACAAATAAACAAAAAGCTATCACAAAAAGAAATAACAAAAACGTATATTTTTAATTTTCCATTTATCTTTTCTGAACAGTATAACACCAAATTGGTCGCGTATTGCCTCTAAAAGTTAATTATCCCTGTCTTGAGTACTGATAATATCTGTGTTTAACGCTTCAGCCAGCGCAAATTGGGGAATTTCCGAGCCCCGAACTTTCAAGGTGTAACAGGCAACTTCCACCTTGTTCATACTCGCTTTTAACACTCTCAGTTTTGACGACACATCCCTGGAAACGTTACCAAACGACAAGAAAGCATCGTGAATATCACGCAGAAAGCGACAAACTTCGAAAGGGGTTTCTTTGTCTCCGTTTGCAGCACTGTTTATGCATAAACGCATCAGCTCGCCTGTTAAATCTGCGACTCCAAGGATGTAGTCAAACGGGTTTAACTCTAGATCTTTCCCTCCCTCCTTTGAAAATTCAAACGTCGCTTTAACTTGCTCGTACGAAATGAGAGTCTTGTTCTTCAGGAAATGGGAAAGAGACAATGCTTCGATGTACTCTTGTAAACCAGGAGAATACGCTCTGGAGAATAAATATGAATCTTCTCCACCCAACTCCGAGGCTATCGTCTTCAAGAGTTCTTTGACTTCCAGGAACTTTTCGTCAGCTTCTTTTAAGATGGGTTCTTGGTCATCAGCGCCACCGGCTCTTTGGAGAAGGAAGATAATCCTCTTGCTTGCTATGGTCACATCCCTGCTACATTTGACCAAACGCTCGTGCTTATCGTGCCGCGAGTCGAGCTCTTGTTGGTGCTTCCTGAATGATTTTATGATTGGAGAGTTCTCATCAATTTGCGTTTTAGGAAAATTGCTTTCACTGGCTTGTTTTCGACTTCGCTTTTCGCCTCGCCGCTGCTTTCCGACGGCCGCCATATTAAAGTTTTTTTGACAAGTTAGATCAACACCAATGATTGGTTCTATCTCTCAATGAATTAAACCAATCAAACGTGGCCTTAGAATTGCGGCTTACTGCCCTTGGATGAAAATGGCGGCAGATTTGAAGTGTTTGTCGACGGAAATTTACACATTACTATTGGCGTGAAATTCCATGTATTGGTTAGATGCATGAGGAAATGTTTCTTCTTTGAGAAAGATGAGTTATGGGAGAGCAAGAGGTAATATTTTGAGAGGGAGAGGACAAAGATTCCGCGGACAGAGAAGAGGTAACAGCCAGGCTGGAAGAGGTATGAGCAAAGAAGCTTTTAGTTTTGACTTGAACGATGCACTATCGAATTCTTTGTGGAAAACTAATACTGTCGTCTTAAAAAATAGGAAAGATGGAAAGGTTTCTGTCAAGTGTTTGTACGATAAAGATTTTACGTGGTTTATCTTCTAGTTAATTAAGGCCCTAGTCGGTTAATTGAATTTAATGTATAAGCTTAAAGGTAAACTTAAGCTTATATGACTCCCGATATGACTTCTGTGAGTTCAACAGCTGTTTTATCATTTCACAGGTCAAGGAGGGAATACTGCAAATTCACAACATCCTGGTAAGAAAACTGTACTCCGACTTTCCTATCCCAGGGCTGCCCATATGTTAAATGTAACGTAATGAATTTCTATTTTTACTAAGGTTCAGTTAAAATGAATGCAGGGTTGTCATTAAGTTTTGAGTCACCTGTAGCCTTGATCTTCACACCCGTAACAAACTTGTTACTTTGTGGGTGAATTGTGTCAACAAAGCTCAATTTTGTCTGCAACATCAAGGGCCCTTCAAGCACATTCAGCCATAATAGGTGTTACAGGTTACAGCCCTTAAGGACAGCCCTAGAATCAGCCCTTTAAATGGGGTTCTAGCTAGGAGTCGGGAGGGGTGGGGGGGAAGGGGGGATGATGGACAAAAATGTCAAAACGGTCTTACTGGTCCTATTCTGAAGATGCATAAATTTATCATTTTTTCCTGGCTGGTGTTCGAGATTACTCTCTTTGACTGATGCTGGATTAAATATTTTCTCAGTACATATTTCTCACACTTGGTTAATAACATACATATTTTAGGTCAAAGGGGATCAAACCAAAGCAGTTCAAGACCTCAAGTACAGCATCAGAGACCTCAGCAGGTGCAGACAAGCTTGACGCCTTGTCCTTACAAAACATGGAATTTGTACTTTCCTGACAGTGGTAAGTTAACTTTGTCTAACTGCCCTAACTTAATCTGAATCCAGAAACAAACAAGTGACCTGGTGTTGAAATAAATAAATTGATAGATAAGGAGCATGCCATAGACTACAGGCTTGTCGCAGAACACCATTAACTGGCTTTGTAAACCAAACAGAAAATTTGTTGTGGTATGAAATGGATACCTAGGTGATTATGGTACTTGCACATCGGTCTGATGCCTATCTCTGGTTTCTGTAGTATGAAGTGACAAAAAGTACTTCTACTTTTGACACCCCCCTAGATGAGCTGCAAGTCCATTGCATGGCTACTTCCACTGCTCAAGTACACAACACATTAACCTCAGCCAGGGCTCAAACCCGACCACTTGATCTGGAGTTGAGCACACAAACCATCAGGCCCGACTGCTTCTCCCCAAATAGCTTTACTGATCCAGTAATTCATTCATTTTTATGTGCAGTTTATAATCCAGAGTCATCTCTTGGAACTAAAGTTCAGGCCATTACAAAGTTTGTGGAATCACATGCAGCCCAACTCTCAAAGGTATACACTCTCAAAATGTTTTCCTACAGCATATTATATGAAAGTTGGAGGGGGTTTGGGTTCCAAAGGCACGCTTTCAAGTGTCCTTAGGGTGCGGTCCTGTAGCAGGGTTTCAGGGTATCCCTCCCTGGAAAAAATTTTGAAATTTTGATGCTCAAGGATGCCATGGCATGAGTTTCATTATTATCATAATTTATTTTGTGACTGGTAGACGATCAAACCTCCAGAGGAACCGACTGATTTTGAGAAGGCTGGAGTCATGCAGTATTCCAAGATGTGTTCAGGGTGTGTGTTTCAGAAAACATCTCTGTTGATGTATTTAGAACTGGATCCTAGAGAGCACAAATAGGCAGAAGAAAATTTTAATTACTTACATTATTTTTAAATTATTATATAGCTTGTGTTTGTAGCCAACCTTATGTGTGCTCTGATTGGTTAATTATATGGCATTATTCTCCCGTAATGCCCACGGGCTGATTACAGGCTTGCAAAGACAAAGCAAAAAGCCATATAATGAACAACTTATTAGCCTCAAACATTTGGTCTTCATGGGAAAATCTCAAAGCTCAACTGTATGGCAAGATCTCTGTTTGAGATTTTGCCATTAAGACCTCACTCTCGGTTTTTACGTGGTTATTGATTGTCTATTTCCAGGATGAGATTGAAAACAAAGGAGCTGTGGTGTTTGATTACATGGACCTCATTTCTGATCCAGGTATCTGCATTTGTCATAAATATCATTATAAATCCCAATACATGTATTTCTATTTGGCCTTGTCGAGAAGTGTGCTGTAAATTATTAATAATTTATTTTGGACTTGCCCTCAATAAGGTATTGACATGTGCTTGTATGCCTGAGTTCCAGCAAGTCAACTTAAGAAGGGCTAGGCCCAAAACGTTTAGTTTACAAGCAAGTATTTGACACTTTCAAGAGCCTTTTGATCCTCATATTTAATTTATTGCATAGTGTCATGTATCTTATGAGTTATTTGCTCATTCCTACTGACTTAGTTTAACATGGCTGTTANTGAGTTGCGCTGAATATTTCCAGAAATGTATTACATCTCCTAACTGTAGAAGGAAGAGAGATTTTGCGTCATTTCTGAGAACTGGGACCGAAACAGCCAAACAAGACGACAAACAGAGAGAGTTTAGTTCAATGGAAGCTAAAGTAGGAAATCTAAAACGAAAATGGAAAATGCCGTTTTTGGAAAAACAACAGTTGACATGAAGAATTGCACGTATCACTACGGACTGCCTAACAACCTTCATTGTTCCTATACCTCAAGAAGATGACAGTATTGAGTAACTTTTCTTTGCCGGTACAAATAATACATATTAAAATGCATTTGTGTAAAACGGAGCTTGAGAGATAAATAAAAGAACAAATGAAACCATTGGCTTTTATTCTTACAAGTCACTTTGATAGATAACAAGACTGTGCAAAATTTCCACCCCTGCTACGTTTGTGAACTTATATATGGCAATGCTTTGTTTAAGTGTGAAGAAACAAAACAAAACAAAATTGAAGCAAAAAGAAAAACAACTGTCCTTCAGAGGTAGGCAACGTATAACCCAAATTTTTGAAATTAAATTATTCGCAGCCTATATCGAAATGGATATATTATCTATATTTCGTTGGAAGTTTTTCGAGCTTTCTGATTTCCGGCAATTTCTTTACATTGCGAACGAAAATTTGTCGATCTCCCGAAAACGAGTTACTTCGGATGAGTCGACACGTCCCTTCAATCCCCATTCAAGCGCAAGATTGTCTATTTCTTCACCCTTCTTCCTGCCGGGATTGATCTAAAAATGACCGGTGAGGAATTGAAGGGGATTTAAAAACTCCCTTCATCCACTCTTATCACAAATAAACAAAAAGCTATCACAAAAAGAAATAACAAAAACGTATATTTTTAATTTTCCATTTATCTTTTCTGAACAGTATAACACCAAATTGGTCGCGTATTGCCTCTAAAAGTTAATTATCCCTGTCTTGAGTACTGATAATATCTGTGTTTAACGCTTCAGCCAGCGCAAATTGGGGAATTTCCGAGCCCCGAACTTTCAAGGTGTAACAGGCAACTTCCACCTTGTTCATACTCGCTTTTAACACTCTCAGTTTTGACGACACATCCCTGGAAACGTTACCAAACGACAAGAAAGCATCGTGAATATCACGCAGAAAGCGACAAACTTCGAAAGGGGTTTCTTTGTCTCCGTTTGCAGCACTGTTTATGCATAAACGCATCAGCTCGCCTGTTAAATCTGCGACTCCAAGGATGTAGTCAAACGGGTTTAACTCTAGATCTTTCCCTCCCTCCTTTGAAAATTCAAACGTCGCTTTAACTTGCTCGTACGAAATGAGAGTCTTGTTCTTCAGGAAATGGGAAAGAGACAATGCTTCGATGTACTCTTGTAAACCAGGAGAATACGCTCTGGAGAATAAATATGAATCTTCTCCACCCAACTCCGAGGCTATCGTCTTCAAGAGTTCTTTGACTTCCAGGAACTTTTCGTCAGCTTCTTTTAAGATGGGTTCTTGGTCATCAGCGCCACCGGCTCTTTGGAGAAGGAAGATAATCCTCTTGCTTGCTATGGTCACATCCCTGCTACATTTGACCAAACGCTCGTGCTTATCGTGCCGCGAGTCGAGCTCTTGTTGGTGCTTCCTGAATGATTTTATGATTGGAGAGTTCTCATCAATTTGCGTTTTAGGAAAATTGCTTTCACTGGCTTGTTTTCGACTTCGCTTTTCGCCTCGCCGCTGCTTTCCGACGGCCGCCATATTAAAGTTTTTTTGACAAGTTAGATCAACACCAATGATTGGTTCTATCTCTCAATGAATTAAACCAATCAAACGTGGCCTTAGAATTGCGGCTTACTGCCCTTGGATGAAAATGGCGGCAGATTTGAAGTGTTTGTCGACGGAAATTTACACATTACTATTGGCGTGAAATTCCATGTATTGGTTAGATGCATGAGGAAATGTTTCTTCTTTGAGAAAGATGAGTTATGGGAGAGCAAGAGGTAATATTTTGAGAGGGAGAGGACAAAGATTCCGCGGACAGAGAAGAGGTAACAGCCAGGCTGGAAGAGGTATGAGCAAAGAAGCTTTTAGTTTTGACTTGAACGATGCACTATCGAATTCTTTGTGGAAAACTAATACTGTCGTCTTAAAAAATAGGAAAGATGGAAAGGTTTCTGTCAAGTGTTTGTACGATAAAGATTTTACGTGGTTTATCTTCTAGTTAATTAAGGCCCTAGTCGGTTAATTGAATTTAATGTATAAGTTTAAAGGTAAACTTAAGCTTATATGACTCCCGATATGACTTCTGTGAGTTCAACAGCTGTTTTATCATTTCACAGGTCAAGGAGGGAATACTGCAAATTCACAACATCCTGGTAAGAAAACTGTACTCCGACTTTCCTATCCCAGGGCTGCCCATATGTTAAATGTAACGTAATGAATTTCTATTTTTACTAAGGTTCAGTTAAAATGAATGCAGGGTTGTCATTAAGTTTTGAGTCACCTGTAGCCTTGATCTTCACACCCGTAACAAACTTGTTACTTTGTGGGTGAATTGTGTCAACAAAGCTCAATTTTGTCTGCAACATCAAGGGCCCTTCAAGCACATTCAGCCATAATAGGTGTTACAGGTTACAGCCCTTAAGGACAGCCCTAGAATCAGCCCTTTAAATGGGGTTCTAGCTAGGAGTCGGGAGGGGTGGGGGGGAAGGGGGGATGATGGACAAAAATGTCAAAACGGTCTTACTGGTCCTATTCTGAAGATGCATAAATTTATCATTTTTTCCTGGCTGGTGTTCGAGATTACTCTCTTTGACTGATGCTGGATTAAATATTTTCTCAGTACATATTTCTCACACTTGGTTAATAACATACATATTTTAGGTCAAAGGGGATCAAACCAAAGCAGTTCAAGACCTCAAGTACAGCATCAGAGACCTCAGCAGGTGCAGACAAGCTTGACGCCTTGTCCTTACAAAACATGGAATTTGTACTTTCCTGACAGTGGTAAGTTAACTTTGTCTAACTGCCCTAACTTAATCTGAATCCAGAAACAAACAAGTGACCTGGTGTTGAAATAAATAAATTGATAGATAAGGAGCATGCCATAGACTACAGGCTTGTCGCAGAACACCATTAACTGGCTTTGTAAACCAAACAGAAAATTTGTTGTGGTATGAAATGGATACCTAGGTGATTATGGTACTTGCACATCGGTCTGACGCCTATCTCTGGTTTCTGTAGTATGAAGTGACAAAAAGTACTTCTACTCCTGACACCCCCCTAGATGAGCTGCAAGTCCATTGCATGGCTACTTCCACTGCTCAAGTACACAACACATTAACCTCAGCCAGGGCTCAAACCCGACCACTTGATCTGGAGTTGAGCACACAAACCATCAGGCCCGACTGCTTCTCCCCAAATAGCTTTACTGATCCAGTAATTCATTCATTTTTATGTGCAGTTTATAATCCAGAGTCATCTCTTGGAACTAAAGTTCAGGCCATTACAAAGTTTGTGGAATCACATGCAGCCCAACTCTCAAAGGTATACACTCTCAAAATGTTTTCCTACAGCATATTATATGAAAGTTGGAGGGGGTTTGGGTTCCAAAGGCACGCTTTCAAGTGTCCTTAGGGTGCGGTCCTGTAGCAGGGTTTCAGGGTATCCCTCCCTGGAAAAAATTTTGAAATTTTGATGCTCAAGGATGCCATGGCATGAGTTTCATTATTATCATAATTTATTTTGTGACTGGTAGACGATCAAACCTCCAGAGGAACCGACTGATTTTGAGAAGGCTGGAGTCATGCAGTATTCCAAGATGTGTTCAGGGTGTGTGTTTCAGAAAACATCTCTGTTGATGTATTTAGAACTGGATCCTAGAGAGCACAAATAGGCAGAAGAAAATTTTAATTACTTACATTATTTTTAAATTATTATATAGCTTGTGTTTGTAGCCAACCTTATGTGTGCTCTGATTGGTTAATTATATGGCATTATTCTCCCGTAATGCCCACGGGCTGATTACAGGCTTGCAAAGACAAAGCAAAAAGCCATATAATGAACAACTTATTAGCCTCAAACATTTGGTCTTCATGGGAAAATCTCAAAGCTCAACTGTATGGCAAGGTCTCTGTTTGAGATTTTGCCATTAAGACCTCACTCTCGGTTTTTACGTGGTTATTGATTGTCTATTTCCAGGATGAGATTGAAAACAAAGGAGCTGTGGTGTTTGATTACATGGACCTCATTTCTGATCCAGGTATCTGCATTTGTCATAAATATCATTATAAATCCCAATACATGTATTTCTATTTGGCCTTGTCGAGAAGTGTGCTGTAAATTATTAATAATTTATTTTGGACTTGCCCTCAATAAGGTATTGACATGTGCTTGTATGCCTGAGTTCCAGCAAGTCAACTTAAGAAGGGCTAGGCCCAAAACGTTTAGTTTACAAGCAAGTATTTGACACTTTCAAGAGCCTTTTGATCCTCATATTTAATTTATTGCATAGTGTCATGTATCTTATGAGTTATTTGCTCATTCCTACTGACTTAGTTTAACATGGCTGTTATTTGAACTGTACATGTAGAGCTTGCTGAGGATTTCCCATCACTGGCTGGAGATTTGAAAGATCAGCCAACAGTTGTTCTGCAAAGTATTGGTCTGGCAGTATCCCAGGTATTTTGTATTTAAGATAATAATTTTTTAGGCTAGCTGTCATGGATGAATCTTACCAATAATATGAACAAATCTTTGAATGCCACTGGAGATAAACAACAACTAACATATTAAATAGTTTACATCTTCTTTGATTATCTGACATGTATCATGTAAATATTTTGCAAGTTGTTCTAATTGAGCCCAGTGCTCAGGGGCAAGGAAATTTCAAGTTCAGAGGAAATGAGTGAAAAAAATTAATTATATTTATGATTTCTGATTCATTATGTTAAAGGTTCTGTGGACTGCAGAGACGGTAGACAGCCAACAAGGTGCACCTGTAATTGATTTACCATACATACAAGCCAGGTAGGTACACACAGCCTACAAGTTTCACGTTTTGAATCATGGCAAATAGGACCCAGCCACTGAGGCTGGACAGAGTACCTGTAATCATGTAAACTGCCAATGTTTTGCTATGGATTGTTATGAAAAGCTCTGTCCCTCTTTCTGAGGCTTTGATGATAGAGGATATCTTATGATGTGGAATTTGAGTACTTAGGAGAAAATCAGCCTCTTTCTTAATACCCTTGCCTTCGCACAGCTACATGTATATTGTACAGTACTTGTGTGTAGTTACACTGTAGTCTTTGGTAATTGAATGCTTCTCAGGAATAACAGAGTGTACATTTTAAGTGGGGGGTGGGGGGGGGGAGGGGTGCTAAAAAGCTCAATATTGTCAGGGGTACTGAGAAATGATCCAATGATGGTGTTCTTTAATTTGGGAACTGTTTTAGCATTCCTTTGCTTTTTCAATGATAATTTACTAATAATAATAATTATAACATTTTAATCATTAAAAACATACGTGGGATACAAGATACTTTCCTCCCCCCCCACCCTTCACCTTCATCCCCAGGCTTCAATGTGCCTGCTTCTCTAAATAAACGTATTGTGGATCTGGTCGCACAAGAGTATGCGCTTGTAAACTACATTTGTTTGGTAACCAAGTGGTGTATCACTTAATATATATGATTACTAATGAACCTCTGACCAGTTTATAATGAGTACACTGTACAAGAGTGTGGTGTATTTTGAAAGTGTAGATCAAATAGATCTGTTCACATCTTCCTGTATCTGTGATAATTTTAATTGTAGAATACTGATGAAAATTTTTTGCGATTTGTTCCCAGAATAACAAACTTTGAGCCCATCACTCCACTGAAAAGCCTCAAGTCCAACTATTTTGGTGGGTAAAAGAAGATGAAAAAGTGTTGAGTGTAGTTTTTAGTATGCCACACATTTCACATTTTGTGGAATTATGGAACATCGCTGCTTTAGTCCTATAATAATTCAACCATGTAGCATGCTAGCATAGAAAGCAGCTATATATATAGGACAACAACAAACACAGCAGAAAGAAAGGAACTGCCCCACCCTCCCCGAAATGTAGCTGTAATAGTTTAGACAAGTACATGTTAAAGTTCCAAGCAAACTGTACAGGGGTGGTGTCAGGAAGTGATCCCAGTGGGTCAATAGCTAGGAGCCTCACCAATTCATTTGGTAGTAATGATGTGGTGGCCAAAAGATGGGGTTCCACTGCTCTATTATTTAATCATGCAGTTTATTGTTCATTATCTTCAAAAACTTTTAAATGTGTGTGTATTTAATTATGTCAGGTAAATTTGTGGCAATCCATGGGACAGTGATTAGAGTGAGTAATGTAAAACCTCTGGTTAAAAAGATGGCCTTCTCATGTAACCTGTGCAGTGAAACACAGGTGAGCATAAGTGGCGTGTTTGCCTGTTGCTTGCCTGCTTTTCTTCTCTCAACCCCCTTTTCTCTCCTCTTCTCCCTGCCTCATTGTCTACCTTTCTCCATCCAGGTCCCCACAGCTCTTCTGTTTTCTCTCCCTCCCTTATACCTGTTTACCTCCCTCTCCCCTAACCCCACTTCCTGAATCCTCCCTCCCTCCCTCCTTTCTTCTCTCTATCTCTCGCAACTTCCCTCTCTTCTTCCCTCACCCACTCCCTACTTCCCCCCTTTCCTCTTTCTTTACAGGTCTGTCTAACACCTTTTCTTTCTCCCTCCCTGCCTCCCTTCCTCCCCCTCCTTCACTCTTTTGCAGGCTATCTCCCTTCTTTCCTCTTTCCCTTGAACTTTATGCTGCTCTATGTACATGCATGTCTCGTTTTTCAAGGGACATTTGTTTCTTTTTAGGTAATCCATCTCACTGATGGCAAATACTCAATCCCATCTAAGGTATGTAATTTTATATAATGACACTGTCGGGCACCTGCAGGATTCATTTCATTTTAATTTGTAAAACTAAAAGTGAGATATTCTTATGAGTTCTTATATAAAAATGCGTGTGAATCTGACTTGTACATGTACTTTTACGAATTTGAAAATGATTAATGTGTCATTGAAATGTCATTCAAAATGATTATCACTAATTGTTATTCTTAATTGTTTATACAAAGTCTCCATTGCAAAATGAATTATAAAACTCCCTTTCAATTTGGCTTGTCACTATATAGTGTTCCTCTGTGGATTGCCGTGGCAGATCCTTCACTCCTGAAAGAAGTTCACCAATGACAGAGACTATTGATTGGCAAACTGTCAGGTTAGTGACAGTTCTTTATAATGTAAGGGGTTTCATTAATGTTTTCATGAGGAAGGTAACTTGCTTTCACAGACATGCAGGCAAACCTTTTTGACCTGAACGTCTTTATAAGGTAAGCTTCCTCTGGATGGTCAAACTTGGTAAAAGAGGCCAAATCATCCTCACAGCCGATCAATTTGCCCAGTGCCTGGCCCTTGGTGAAGCCCCTGTTATAATCAAGCCTGCTTTTTGTGATACATATGCATGTTAGTAAACAGCCATTTCTTAAATATAGTTGTAACATAATTATATCTTTTAATTAACTGGAAAGTTTTTCTCTTGGTTTTAATATCTGAAATAAGATCATCTGCCTTTCATGTCTTCAGTGTGACAATCTCATTGAATGGTTTGTTCTGCCCACAGAGTTCAGGAAATCATGGATGATGATCAGAGAGAATCTGGAAGAATCCCTAGAACCATGGAGTGCGAACTGACAGCTGATCTAGGTACTATGACTAGATTTAATATAATTAAATGTAACTGATCATGAACTACATGAACTAACCCTTAGTGAAATGTCTCCATTAAGAATAATAACTGAAACAAACCTACCCAGGGTTCCAGATAGGTTTTCAATGCAGGTTCCCAACAAGGAATTCCAATGGGTCTATTCCCACTGCTCCTAGCAATTCATTGTAAATTTTCAATTCATTTGTTGGGTCATTTAGCTGACCTTGTAGGGTTTTTGACCTGAGACCCCCTACTTATCTGGAACACTGCTACCTGACTAAAATAATATAAAGTAGCAAACAATTAAACTGAGGCAGTACTACTGTTTTACTCCTTGGTAAAATTACACGAGAGCCATGCTAGATTACAACACATTTTCATGATTGTCCATCAGGCAAGGGCCAACTATCATGATGTACTAACTTAAAACTCGTACTCCAATCTGTAATTTGAATTTCCTCAAACATTTTACCAAAACACTTCATGGCCAAGTGGCAGACAGAATCTAATTTCTAGCCTAACTGGAAAATCCAGAAGCATTGGGCTATTGGACAGGACTTTCTTCACACACTGATATTGGTGTAAAGTCTTGCATTCCTCAGGCAATCCTACACCTTGCAATTTAGAACAGCATCAGTCTAATACTGTCAATGATGTTTCCCTTCCATGGTTGTCAAAAATTAAAAGTTAACTAAAAAAACACAAGGCATTAACTGTTCCCGTATTATTTTTTTAGTGGACAGCTGTGTGCCAGGAGACATGGTCACCATTACTGGTATTGTGAAGGTTACAGGCACAGAGGAATGTAAGTTAAGTATGATGGATTATGTGTACCGAAGGCATCCCCAGTCAAGTGTCAATTGATACCCCCAGTCAACCCTTGATTGACACCTTGATCAACATCTTGATCGGCACTCAATTGACATCTTAGTCGCTACCCAGTCGACACTAGACTGACACTCAATTGACACTCGATTGACAGTCAGTTGATAGTTGGCTTGAGTGTTGACCAACTCATATGTAGCAATCCACAATCGATGGTGTGTTTGCAAAAATTAGTCAACTCTAGACTGATTATCGATTGAGATGTCACTCAAGTGTCAATCAAGATGTCGATCGAGGGTATCAATTGACACTGAACCGTGGATGCCTTTATAGTGCACATGATCCAGTTTGACTGTATAATTTCTGTGATATATCAGGCTTGCAAACTTTTGTTTCTTTGTTGAACATGGCTGTGTATGTTTAGATCGGAACAAGAACAACAAAGACAAGTGTATGTTCCTGCTGTACCTTCATGCTAATGCAGTAAATAACAACAAGGGTGCAGGGCCCAGCAGTGGAGATCAGCAAACCAGTGGTCTGGCCATGGAGTTTTCAATCAAGGTACACATTTCATGTAACTGAATTTTTACATCCTCTTATTGTTTTAACTCATCTCTTGGAACATTAAGTATCAAATCTAATCAAATCACCCCTAGTTATGGTACTAGCACAAATAATAAAAGTTTTCAACTGACAACGCAACTCAGAGAACCAGTGGTAAAACCTTCAGAACATGGAAGATAACCATAAAGTACAAATTTAACTTTAAACCGAGACCAGGCTCAAAATTGAACCCTAAGGCCTCTTTGATGCATGTGTAAGACAAGCACTCTGAGCACTGCACCCAGCCTGCCTGGCATGATACTGCATCAGCTACAGTGCTGTACAGTAATGTAAAAGGTAGTTCTAAGGTTTGTGCCACTCTGTGGATGAAACAGTGTAACATGTGAGCATAGTATTCAAATTACAACTATTGCACCGGCAGCCTATAATATTGTTTTTCTGTCATTTGGATAAAGCTGATCATGCCAACCTAAATGCATTAGTTATGTCTGTTTAATGCTACGCCTTAATTTTTAAATATATGCTTTGCATTTTATAGGAACTGTATGCCATTCAAGAAATTCAGGCACAGAGCAACCTGTTCCGACTAATAGTTGGGTAGGACTTACATGTACAATGTTTAGCTACAAGAGAGACTAAATTGTTTGTTGCATTCATTTAAATTGTTTACTGCATTTTCCATATCTTATCCAGG